TTTTTCACTTGCTGGTCTGATGACAGAGTTGATCTGCTTCATGTGCCAAGCTGCAGCCTTTCTTTTCCTGAGTAGATTGAGAGAAGAGAAGAAGGCAATGTGCATTGCATGGTCTTCAATGAAAGGAACACAAGCCAGTGCATCCCTAATAACAAGCACTTTTGGATGAGATGGAGATTATGTGGCTATATCTAGTATATATCATGTGGGAAAAGGACAGATAATGTTTCTTTGAATGTACTCCAAATGTGAGCCCTGTTCCTCATAGTGCTCATTTGACATTTCCTGCTTGGAGAAAGGCATGGCTGAAATGGAGTAATTTGCATTCCTTGTTCAAGTAATTTATATGCCATTTTTCCTGTGCTCAAAGTGACTTCAAAGCATCTATTCTAAAAGCAGTGAAATGCTTGAAATTTACAGCTAATTACCATCAGAAATAGATTTTCCTTACACAAGACAAAGAGGGAAGAATGATACCTAGCTTAACTAGGAAATCATTCCACCATTTCATGGCACCTGCGATAAAAGTCTTGCCTTTTGACTGAAGGCACATGGAGGAGGGCTCATCTGACATGTTTGGAGATATTACCTCTTCTAGGGCATCCTCCAGCCCTAGAAGAAGCAATATCTTAATTTTGTCCTAGAAATTAAGATCCTCAATCTTCCATTTCCCTCTGCTCTTTGTATTCCTAGCCAAGATCTGACAGAGAGTTAATTCTGAACAAAACCTTATTCTGTAGGAGCTAGTATTTTTGTACTCGAGGAATTGTACATTTTTTTCAGACGAGATCTGGAGAGGTTTATTTAACTGAAAAATAAATCTACCAAGTAAGAGTGGTATAGATTTTTCCAAACTGTTCAGTGTTTATGTTCCTGCCCAGTGCTCTATGCAGAAATGCCTAATTATTTATACCTATGAAGAGTTTTGTAATTTTCACAACCCCCTGGAAATGAAGCAATATGAAGACAGGACAGCAAAAGGAAGCTTCTTTTGTTCATGTTTTATATTTCTTGTCCAGATTCATGAACGTACCTGGTAGATGCAGAGGTAGTCCTTCAGTTATTCTTATAGGGCAGTATACTCATTCCATATTCTTCCTGACATCATCAAAGCACAACTGGGTTTGCTTCCATTCTCTAAGCCACATTTCTTCCTATTTTACTTTATCTGTAGAAATTATTCTACTTGGTTAAGTCAAGTATTTCTAGAAAACTGAAAAGCAGAAGCAGATGCTTGACTGTAGATATGGTAATTGGAATAACATTGCCACTGCATGTGGAAGCTTTGTTCTTTCAGTGATTGCTGGATTCTTAAATTTCAACCTTTTGTCATCCTTTACTGACACAAAAGTTCAGTATTTGTGGAATGGAAACATTGTAGTGAACATTGAAGCACAGAAACTAATAAATTAAAAAGCAATAACATCCCAAACTATTTCAATATTTCTATTCCAACTTTGCTGCCTTCCAATCCAAATATTTTCAGATGATTTCCTACACTTGATATAAATTTCAGTGAGTGCATATGTATGAGCAGGGCACTGCCAATTTTTTTTCACTTGGCATTTTTGGGGAAAGATGATGATTGTGAGGCCTAATCTCTTGAGTAGATCAGACTAGTTTGTCATCACATGGCACTTTTGGAGAACGTACACCATTCTTTCCTGGCTTGATTGCTACTACATGAGTAGGTAGTTGGTGATAATATCCGGGAGTGCCTTCTAACAATTATACCTAAAATAGTGACTGCAGTTCTTTGTAAATACTATAGCAATCATTCATGCTTTTGTATTCTCAGATTGATAAGCAAAGTGTGCTTTTTGGGGATAGGTCTTTTAGAGTATCTGGAAGTAGAAATACAGAAAGCTCTAGCCCAATCTTCCCTAATTGGTGGCTTTTTCCAGCCATCATTAAGCTGATACAAAGCTTCTAATCTTGGCGTAAGGATTGGTGGATGACTCTAGAAGATGCCTTAAGTCACTGTGAGAATCCTGTGTAGTACTAGTACTTCATCACACAGTAGGTATGGTTTTTGTTGGGACTGAGTTCTGTAGTACATTAATTCTAAGTTCTGTAATATGTTCATTCTTAGAAAGTGTGTTTCTCATCCCTCCTGTATTTCAGGCAGTTGTAATAGCTATACGAAAGATGATGGAAGGAGGACTGTGCATGGATTGGAGAAAAAAAATGTGCTGAGAGTATTAGATTTAGGATATATTTATGTGCTGTGAGTTAGTTGAGAAGATGCAAAAAGATCAGGTATAAATACTTAACTAATTTTAACACCAGTACTGAAATGGAACTTATTTCAGATGACTTCAGGGAGGGAAGACAATTAAGGAGAACTTGTATTACATACACAAATGTTTGCTAAGGTAACAATGGAGGTAGGCTGTGTTCTAAGAGTGTTTAATGGTATTTTAAGTATATTTTAGTGGAATTTTAGTTTATTATTGTTAGCTTTTTGAAAGATGTTGTGCAAATTGTGTGTGAATGTATAGGATGTTTGGACTTGGACATCACTGGTGTTATTTCTGGAGCAGAAGGGCATCCACAAGAACCTTTTCCCCATAAAACGTTATTTGGAATAGGAGTAATAGCCCCCAGGGCGAAGATACTCCTTTTTCCTACTCCTCCCACCTGGATCTTCTGGACTAGCATGCAACATAAGATCCATTAGATATAGAACTCTCCATGGGCTGGCTATTCCATCAATAATGTAGGATAAAAAGCCCTTTTCACTACATAGTAAATGGATCTAATTACAATATCCAGTTGGGCAAGTGGAATGGATACAATACTAATTAAATCTAAGTTTTTATTTTTCTTCAGATGGCTATTGCTGGGAAACACGCTTTTTTTTTTTTTTTGGTAATTGCATGTGAAGTTAATCAAGCTTTTTATTTCTAAATATCTAATATGATATTATGCAACATCAATGTTTTAAAATACTTGCAAGATTTCCAAGAAAAATAATTTCCAGATAAAGTTTAGAATTTTGTTTGCTTGGGATATAATAATTTAATCACACGAGTGGACTTGGTTGAAATTTTTCTTCCTAATGAAATATTTCAATTCAAGTATTTCTAACTACTGGGTGGGAAATCAGGTATGGATACAGCATGAAAAATACTCTTATGTTTTCCTTAGTTTTCTAATTGTTGATAATTAATTATAATTGATAATCAGTAAGTTGTTGATAAGCATGTTAAATCTGATCTTCTTTAATTTAGGAAAGCAAAAAGCCTTCATGAAACTTTTCTGAATAAAAATGTTCTGTTTCTGTAATAGTGTACTCGGTGCTGTGTTTAAGCATACCACATGTTTTCCACCCCTCTGTTTAATGAAAAGCACTTTTTCTTGCAACAAATGCATCTCAATCTGAAGACTGTACTTAGCTCACAGTTGGCATTTTCTCCCTGCCTCGCACCATCTCATGATAAACATGTTGGCTTAACTGTTTGTTATGAACAGCAGCACAATTTTACATGCCACAACAACATCACAAACTTAGAATAAATGTTTTCAGTACGGATGGATTTGTTGTCACAAATGGCTTGTTGACTGGAAATGTTATTCACAAATGAACAAAGAGGAAATAGTGGTCAACCACGAAGTGGTTATGTGACTTGTTCTTGATCTCCCTTCCCCAGTAAGGATGAACACTCATTGAAGTTCTTGTTTAACTTTTGACCCACTTACAGGGCATCATGAATTATGATGACCTAATTCTGACCTGTCTGTTTTGATAGCAGTGCAGGCTATAAGAATAATAACCTTTGGGGACTTAGAGAAAGCAGTAGTATTTCCTGCCCTTAACAAGGCATGTTAGGACAGGTGGTTTATAGTCCACAGACAAGAGTTTTTCAAAGGCAAGGAAACAGTATTATGAAGCAATGAATGAACATTAAATGCATGCTTGGGGGGGAGGGTGTTATCAAATCTCCATATGAATCTCTGTTCAAAATATTTTGTAACATTATATAATATTTCTGCTGCAACAGAAAAGCTAAATTTAGTTCTCAGGTGTTCAGCTAGTGCTGCTACATTAAATGTGAATAGTTACTGTGGGTATCTGTAAGTAATGTTAGATAGACAACCTGCCACCTTTGAAGCTATTCTGGTTGTGCTGCTGGATTTCCATGGCCCAATTGCTAAGAACCATTTTAAAATGGGAAACTCACAATATTCTAGTGTAAGCCTTGAAATAAACTATTTTAAATAAAATGAAGTTCCCATTAAAACAAGAACAAAAAAGGATTAACAATTTGTCCCCATTTATGTGTGTGATGTAGCCAACTTACTTTGCCTGCTCTAGCCTTCCACCAACCACAAACAATTAAGTGCAACCTATAAAAGGTTTCCCATCCCTACACATTACAGCATTTGGTAAAAAGGAAGTCCTGTAGAACTTTTCAAAACAACATATTGCTGCATATTGCAAATAACAAAATAACATTTTCTCTTGCCTTCAATGTGTGGGTGTGTATGTGTGTGTGTGTGTGTACACACATACACACAACTCTTTGAATACTGTTCATTCACTAGCTTCAGCACTGACTTTGGGAGGCAGACTCAAAAATCTGCTAATTGAATTACCTGTGAAATATGAAGTAGAATTTTGTATTTCTGCCTACAGCTTTCCATCTGTGGTGTTAACATCCACTTTTGTCCCAGGCTTGCTTCACTGTGTGCATTCAGACTTGGATAAAATTTTAGGGTTTGACAAAATAGTCTGCCTCAAAACTGAGATCATGTCCTTGTGAATTTTTTTCTGTGGACATTAAGCAACAATCTTTGTTCTGCTGATTATGAGCACTTAAACCCTCTAACTTCACTGCACCTGAAGAAAATGCATGTATTCTCTTCCCGCCCACATGGCAGGAGAATAAAGAGAGTAGGTGTGTAAATATCTGTGCAAATAACTTTTTTTTCAATTCTCTCTCATCCCTCTGCTTGATATCTCCTACAATCCATTGTGCACTTCTTTCTCTCCGTAGGTTCCAGTGTCTGTGGCTATGATGTCTCCTCAGATGATCACACCGCAGCAGATGCAACAGATTCTGTCTCCACCCCAGCTTCAAGCCCTGTTGCAGCAGCAGCAAGCAATTATGCTGCAACAGGTAAAGCAGCTTGCATTTGAGCAAACCTTTCATGTGAAAGTCACAGAGGCTGACATCTGTGTCTGCATTTCTCTCACGCAAGTGCAATGTGTTTCCTGTTTGTAAATTTGCAGGATGAGCTGAAAGCTCCTGACTTGCCCACAGTTGTTGGATGTAATAGTTGAACAAAAATATGAAACCTTGACAGTCAACTCCAACTCTTCCCAGTTTAAGAGCAAATTCTTCCTCATGGTCATAGACTGAATATGTGGGTTGGATAGTTCAAATGTTGGGGTTTGTAAAAGATAGGGTGTATATGAGGGAAGATTGAGGATTTTATTTGCAAATGAAGATTTTGCTTGTGAATTTGATTTTTGTTTTGCTTATTTACTTAAATATATTACAGTGGACAGATAGGGATGTCCAGTGCCTCAATTTTGTTTTCTTTTGTTTTGCCTTTAATGATGCTCTGGAATTGCTCTAGTCATGCACAGGTTGGAAACTCTAACCTTGTTAAATGTGGTTGGGAGTTAAGTCTTGTAAAATGGGTTCAGAAGTTATAGTTGGATGAAATGTGACTGAATTACTTTTCCTCCATAACTAATTACCGTGTTCTTAATCCTGGGAAAATACAGTTCCCTTTCCATAGCAGGTTCCTCTCTAAATTAGCACTAATTTTAGGATAAATGGATATTTATAACAAGTCCCTTATTTCATTTTTTTGTCTTCCTGCTTTGGTTGCTCCCATGAAATGTTAAAACACTGTGAATAACTGTAGGAAGACTGAAATGACAAGTGGAGTACATCTTTCAATTAAAGACTTGTAAATGAGTACTAAATGAATGCCCTATTTAAGAATATTGAGTGAACCCTTTGCACTGAAACTTCTTTCTGGAGGTTCTATTTCAAAGCTTTTTTTATTTTTCCAGACAATGACAATCAGCTTAAGAGTTACATGTAAAGTAGTTAGATACAATTTTCATTTTGGTTTTGGTGACTGAGCAAATTCTGTGCTCTGGAACTTTTCATGTTCTGGCTTCTTCTGAGCTTCAGCAGTATGTTTATCATCTTAGCTGATGGCTCTAAAATGTGCATAATCCTATAAAGCTTTATTTTAAAGCAAACAATTCCCTTAGGAAATAACATTTTCATCAACTACTATACTGAATTGGGAATGGGACAGTTTTTTTTCCACTAGATATAAGTGAAAATAATTATAAAAATGAGGGAGGAGATTAAAAAATCCCCAAGAAAACACAGCTATTTGGACAAACATTTACTCCAGGGAAGGGGGAGCAAACATAAAAATCACAGCATCCTCCACACCCTTCCTCCTGCCTTAAGTACCTGTTTACTTCAAACATGCTGATAAAGAGTCAAGGTTAGCCCCAGGGGAAGAACAAAAGGTAAACACTAACCTGGGTGGGGTCCTTCCCTCTCAGAGCCTTTTTGGAGCCAGATAGAGAAACACGTCTGACTGCAAATTAAACAGCCTGGACCGGAATAGCTGGCATTCTCCATGAGAAGAAAACCAAACATCACACCTCTCACCTCTTGACCCAATGTTCTCAGAATCCCATATAGAGACCTGGTTTTGATTGGCTTTTGGGTAAACAGGGAGGCTTTCCAAACCTGTTCAGCAGACTTAAAGAGAAAGGTTTCTGCTGTCAGCACTGTCAGCTACAAGCTGATAAGGACTGTCCCAGAATCCCCAGGGGCATTCCTCAGGAGCCAGCTTCCCCCCTGCTTCCCTCCCCCCTCCCGTTGTAGAAACCTGTACTGATCTCTCTGTAGTTCTTCCCCCTCCTGTGGAAAACAAATTACATCTGTAAATCATTTATTTTAATATAATGAAACTAAAATCTGCATGCCTGTGAAAATCTCAGTGTAATGCCACTTAATATACACTAAGCAGAGTCCTTTAATTGTCTCTTCACACTGTAGAGCTGAAATGCTTCTGTGTGCTATAAATTAATATTTTGTAGATAAAATAATTAAGGAACTAAAACTGAAGTAACTTAAAATTTCTCAACTTGAATCGTGTAATATTCACTAGATAAAGGGTATTTTAATTTTCATTTCTAAGTTTCTTTTGGAAAGAAAAGGTAGAGCTGGGATAGAAAAAATAATTTTAGTTTTTATTGAGGTAATATATAGATTAAAATAAATAAATTAAATGCTATCCTCAAATAATCTAACCAAAATTGCATCTGAAATAAAGCCTTATTAACCTGGAAATGGCTCCTTGTCCAAAATATTAAACTAAAATACTCTGTATTTAGCCAAGAGAAATACAAAATCACCTAGATAGTGTTTCTCAACCTTGGCAATTTTAAGATGTGTGGACTTCAACTCCCAGAATTCCCCAGCCAGCATACCTAATGACCTAGAATAGTTTATATATCTTATATAAGTAAATTATATAAACTTAGTAAATTTGCTAAACAATAATAGGTATACTCTAGCCACTAAAATACTTTATTTGAAAACTAAGTACTTATGGAAACAGATTCACTTATTGGTTTATCTATACAGACGAGGCAGTGTTCCAAAGCTTCTTTTAATTGAAGCTCACATGTTGTGCAGAACTTTCCAGAAACAAAAAACCCTAGTAATTTAAAGCAGAAGAGTTGGCTTTCATAAGTCCAAAAGGAAATGCATGTCTGTTTGAGTTCTGAGCAATTGCCAAATTTACATGATTCAGAACTGAGTTTACCAGCTATTTAGTCCAGGAAGAGCCGTAGCTCATGAACCAACCAGATTTGAAAATAAGTACTCCTAACCACTTCAGGCACCCGGGCATCCAGAGACAAGGCTGGATCCTGTAGGCCTAGAATACCATCTGTTGTAAAAATAGTTCCAAGAATAACTACAGGCAGGAATCAAATGCTAGGACAATAGTTAAACATGTATTTTCTGTGTCTTTTCTGATGCAGATTGCCCTTTCCCAAAGAAGAAGAGAAAGTGGAACATGGAACCTGTCATTTGCCCCTAAATCCTTCTGACATAACGTCTTAATTCTCATCCCCAGTGGTAGCCAGATCTTTTTATAAAGCAATTACATTCACATGGATTCATACTTTCTACCCCTTGTCTCATCCCTGGCAATTATGCCTTCCTTTTGCATTTAGATTTTAAGTTCCTTTAAGGGAGAGACCTGTTTCTTTTGCAATAAAACATTACACATAGTATAAATTATTCTTCATGCTTTCAGCTGATTCTTATGGCTCCTCTGCACAAAGCCTCTTCATCCCCAAGGCTTTTGTAGCTGTTCTGTACCTGAACTGATTAACTTCTGGCCAGTTGCAATGCAGGAGTAAAGCCTACAAAAGATGTTCTCTAGCATTAACTTCTAAACTGTGGGGCAGGTTTCCCACCAGCAAAACTCTTAGTTTCTTGGCTGTCCCTCCCACCTCTGCTCAAGTCACCATGGCACCCTACCAATGTTTCATTGGGCTTTAATGAGCAGATTGTTTCTTTCATTGTAAAGCAGACATGGTGAGACAAGAACACAGATGAGAATCAGTGGGAGGAAGCACTGGTTGGCTTACAGAGGACTCTGGGCATAGCACTGCTGAGGACACTTGCAGGATGGAACAAAAATGTTTCTTAGGATTAGGAGATTCCAGGGGCTGCGTAAATTCCAGATACTAAACAAGAACCGAAAGAAAAAATGTTTGAGAATCTCTAATTTTTACTGCTTGTTTTACTATAGCTGCTATGCTTTCTTTTGGTTTGTTATTCCCGTATAGTATGTCAGTCTGCTGAATTTATCAGATTCCAGTTGTACTCACTGGTTCATGATGTGTGTATCTCAATTTTGATTTACTTTCTACGTTATGGATTTTAAAGTGTTATAACTTGTATAGCCCTCTGAGTTAAAGGCAGAGTATAAATGTTTTAATAAGCAAAATAAGTAATATTTTCCCTTTCTGTATCTAATGTGAATATAAACATTATTTAGGCAAGAATGATTTTTCTTCTGTGACTTCATCCTGCTAAAATAATATTTGTCCACAAATAGTGCCAGATAAGCCCTGGGAACTAATTATATACAACAAGCATTGGTTTGGGTCAAGAGCCCCTCCAAAAGTTGCCATTAAAAAATGCCATCATTTTTAATGGGTCAGAAAAGAAAAACAGATATACTTTTTGTCCTAGCCCCATCCATTTTTTTTTTTTTTTGCCCTGCTTCTAATTTGGTGTGCAGCAATTAGAATGCCACATGTCAGGTGTGCCAGTCCCCCCAAAGTTAAATATCTCTGAAATATGGCTTATTGCAGCTCCGTAAATTCCAAGCCAATTCATTTCTGGCCAAAAAAGACATAAAAATACACAAGATTCTATGTCTTCTCTTGCTCTCTTTCCTCCTCTGTTTCTCTTGCCCCAAATAATGATTGACAAGAGAAGGTTACAGCCTAGGTCTCATGTAATTCAGTAAAATGTTAGTGAGTCATATTCCTTCAGTTCTGGGAATGCTTCTTTTGATTGACTCTTGTATTCTGTTAACATGTATTCTCTACACCCTCTAGAAAAATATTGCAGTTGGCTATCTGCTTTCATTTCAAGTTCTGTATTTTTGGGAAAATAATTTCCATGTCCTCTTTCTCGAAAAAGAAACACTCATGGGAAGACCAGGTTTCATGAACTTACTAATGTTTTGGTCTCTGTGTCTGTCTGTAAAACAGAAATGTCAGTGACCTCTTTTCAATAATTATTGTGACTATGCAGTAATTATATATCAAAAGAGCAAGAGAAATAAACATATTTGTTCAACTGATCTTTTTGTGATTCTATTCATTATGATTATATAGGCACACATATAGCCCTATAGCACCATAATACCTTTATAGTGTGCTCACATCTTATTAGATAGTTGCAAAGCTTTAAAGTACCATGTTCTCCAACACCAACTTTCTCATAATGTCCTCTATTCTTTTCTCCTACCTTTTCTTCAGCTGCAGGAATATTACAAGAAGCAACAGGAACAGCTTCACCTGCAGCTTCTGACTCAGCAGCAAGCTGGAAAGCAGCAAGCCAAAGAGGTGAGGTTTGCTTTGGGTTCAGAAAGACACTATACCTTGCATAAAAAAAATCTCTGAAGAAAATAAAAATAATTGAGGGGATAACAGAGATGCTAGAAAAATTACATTGCTTTGCATGGAAAAGAACAGGTTGAGCTATTGTGCTTTCTTGTCCATTTGACAGGACAACCCGGACTATCCTTAGTTATTCAGTAGATTTAATTTCAGAAACTTCTCAAGTCACTGCCACTGTGGTGACCTACGTTTTGCAATAGGCAAGTTTAGCTATAACTAATTCACTGCTTAGAAAAATGTTTTGCAGGGATCCTCAGTAATCAGCCCTTGTTTAAGAGGTTTATCTGCAACAAGTACACAATATTTGCTTTAGAATTCTAAAATAAAAGATACTTGTACCATCCCTGCTGTTGGCACTTTTGCCAGAAGCAACATCATAATGCAGGGTGCTATGAAAGTATTTTTGGCAATAGTGGTACTGCCTTGGAAACATGAATTGAGGCTCTACGATGATCTGGAAAATCTACTATGTACATCTTAATAGTGCAAGGAAACCCTGTTTAAGGGGTTACCTGTTAGACCCAGGAAACAATAAATTTTCAGAATTCAGATACCCATGTCATGAGGCTATTGTTTATGATTAGCCTTAGCAATATTTATTTTTATGTTAGTTCCAAGATCAAAAGGTGATATACATAGCAAACTTTTTCTCACAACATGGTTAAGTGAAGTTGAGAGAGAATGTCTGGGTCAAACTCAACCCATGAGTTTCTGTGGCCTTGAACTTGGGTTTCCCAGATCCTATCCAATACTGTAATCATAAGAATACATTGATTGATATACAGTTAAAATGGTGTATGTTCCAAGTAATTTTAGCACAATCCATAAAGTTTCTATATGGCAGTAGTTCTCAACCTGTGATCAGGAGTCTGTTGATGGTCTATAAGGTTACTTCAAGTGATCCCTAAGATGAGTACCAAAATGGCCAAGATCCCAGATTGTCTGAAATTTTGTTGTTCTGCTCTGAACCTTTGTGAAATTTGATTTTGACCAGTTGATACTTTTTTAAAATTACAATGTCCTGTAAATCATATTTGGGGACAGGACATCTGTGTCATGATATCTACATATGCATGCTGCAGCCTCCAGCTTCTGTGGTGGTTGTTAAAAGTTTTCAGTTATGAAGTAGTGGTCTGCATAAAAGGAAAGGTTTGAGAACTACTGATGTAAAGACATATCGAAACTGATTTAACTACAGTGAGTTAAAACACCTTTGTGTAGATAAAATCCTTCCACAAATTCTTCATTACCCACTGTTTGGGCATCTTGAATGCCAATGAATCATTTGAAATACGTAAATTGTTCCCCTCATGTCCTCTTACTGTAAGTTATTTCTAAGTTCTCTTTGACTCTATTTATAATAAAAATGGAAGTTTATCAAATTTGGTTGATAGAAGCACTAGTTGACCAGTATTGCTGTTCTCCTTGCTTCTTAAAGCAGATTTTGATCATTCCTGTCATAACATTCATGGTGTATGCTTCTTCCAATATCTGTTATTCATTTATTTTGTTATCTATTAAAACTCAGATGCCCTTATTGATTGTACATCCTATGGCCATTAAACTGCAGATGGCCCCAAATAAAAGGTTCCCTTGTATGGTTCAGAGCAAATCCACACTGGGAACTGTGCATGTTCAGTGCAGTTATGGAAGGTTCCAGTGAGAATCTTTCTGAAACAATGCCCTCTGCAGTAGTTTTGAGGAATACAATATGATTAACTAGTATACAGGTAGTCCTCGGTTAACTATGGTAATTGGGACCAGAATTTCCGTCGCTAAGCAACATGGTTATAAAGCATGATATCACGTGACTGCATCGCTTAGCAACAGCAATCCCAGTAGTGCCCATTGCTGTTGTTAAGCAAGGTTCACAGGTCATTAAGCAAGGACCTCCATGCAACTTCCTGCCATCTTCCTACAACCAAAGTCAGCGGAGAAGCCGGCAGGAAGTTGCAAGTCCCAGATGGCTCACAAGGAGGCTGGCAGGCAGGAGGGTGGTTGCTGCTTGGTAGGGGAGGGTGCATGAGGGGCTGTTGCAGTGCGGCTTGAGTGCAGCGAGGCATGGGATGTGCTGCTGGGTGGGTGGGGTACACAAATGGTCACTGAATGAGTGGTCGTTAACCGAGGACTACCTGTAATATTTAAGCTAATGTATTTCACAATGTTCATTTAATAATATCCATTGTTTTAGAGGGAAAAATGCAGTTTCTGCTTATTTATGTGAAATGACGGTTTGTCCCAGCTGAAAGTTTACAGTGAGAGTATAAAGCAAACTGTGATGTTGAGATACATATGGTCTCCCTGAGCTTTTTTCTCCAAATGTAGCCACAAAAGTTACAATCTGTCTCTGAAATTAAATGGAGAGGTGGGGGGGGGGAGCAGGACAGTTTCTGGCTCATGTGTTTTATATAAGCCATCTAGAATCAAGAATGAATTGTGTGGCATGCAAATCTATGTAAGAAAAATAAATTAAGCAAATATATACACTCATACAAGTTCTAAGTTTCACAACTACTGGGGTCTTCCATAGATCAAACCTATTTTTGCATGTAAAATTTTTGTGAAACCTTAAATTTTCAACGCTGTGGTACCATGTTGTCCCCATGGACTACATTGCCTTCTTTCATAGTCTTTTGCCCAATTGGCCTTGCCTGTCTAATTCACTGAAACTAAGTTTAAACACAGTCTATTAGGTCTATATCAGTGTTCCTCAACCTTCACAAGTCCACATATCTTAAACTTGCGAAGGTTGAGGAACACTGGTCTATATGATAGGTGCTTGCTGTTATATAACTGCATGGCACTTGTGTATGATCAATATATTTATTTTTCCAGTCTCAAATCTTATGAAGCAGAGCTACTGTCTATCATTGGGAAACAGAAGCAACCCAGTGATTTAGCCAGACATACACAGCAAGCCAATAGCAGAAAAAGATGTCAGACTCTGGTCTTCTGCAATTCAACTTTCTGGCACCTTATTTTATTTTACAGGCTAACTTTGGAAATGTTGCTTCCTTTGATTTAAGGGAAAAAAATGTTGGCAGGTGTAAGTTCGTTTCTGTCATGACACATTGTGCCTAGGCTAGTACTTACATTGCTGCTATGTAATGATGAGCCAGATTCAAGAAATCGTGCAATCCTAATTTCTTCTGTGACTCCAGAAAGCTTGAGAGGGAGAAGAATTTTCAGACTGAATCTTGTCCCTGACAGTTGTCCCAGTATACCAGCTGATACAGCATGGTTAATCTGGGAGGGGAGCAGCACATGAGGATTGGCCAGCAAGTAACCTGGGCATCAAATTAATGAAGTGCTCCTGTCAGTCCACAGTGTCACGCTGAAACTCCTCTTGATGTGCTCATAAATCAAAGTGACGGCGCCTGTTACCCCAGTAACTGCACCCACTCAGCTGCGTCTAATGTAAACAGAGCAGACAAAATGCTTTAAGAAATTCAAACCCCATCACTAGGGAAAAGATCTGGGATCAAAGAATAGAGACTTGGTGCAACAAGAGGTGAAGGTAAAAATCCAGGGGTTTAAACCCTAAATAAAAACTTTCCATAGATACCTGGCAACTCTTAGAGGAAGAAAGGATTGTAAACACCCAGTGATTGCTAGTGTCTGACAGAGTAAGGTTCAGTAATTACTTTCTTGCGTTTAAGATTTTTATCGGTGTGCAGATAAGCTTCTTGCTTCATTGGTTCTATCAAAAGTACATGGAGGATGATCTCCAAAAGTGAAAATGACCAGAGAAGCCCACAGATTCTGACAACAGCAAATAAGGGTGAACGAGAGCTTCTAAGGCACATCAGATGAGCTTTTATGATTTTAGTTCTGGTGATCAGGGACAAATCTTGGAGGATTGTGGCATAATAGAAATAGTATGGAAGAAAAAGTGAAGTATGCCTAATGGACTGCATTTGTATGTATACAACACTCTGCTGGGCTTAGTAAAATTACCAGTATTTCAAAGTTAACCTAATAAATTTCCAACGATTTGTCAGGAAAAAAAATAGTTTAATTATGTGAGTTACTTTGCCTTGCATTCAGCATTTTGTCCAAAGAATTTTACATTGGGGCTGTTTTTTATTTGGTTCACTGCGGGTCAGTTTGGCTGTACAACCTTTGGGAAGTGGGAAGAGTCAGGGTTCAAAAACATTAGTTGTACTTGACTATTCAGAAGAGCTTCACCCACCATAAGTAAACTTACATTTTACCTGTGTGGTTATGAGAATCTGTCATTTAGAAGGAAACTCACATGTGGAATACTATACTTTGGAAGAAAATAAATATTAAAGACACTTCCAAATGGAGCTTTTATTGTACAACCATCTGCTTCATTCATGAAGCTTTATATCAAGGGAGGGAATCCAAGCATCGCAATTATCTATTTATTACCTCTCCACATTTTCCAATGTGGAAATGCTTTTTTTCTCTTCATATATAAAATCCTATGTATAATCCATGTAGGAGGGAAAACTAGAATAGCTTAGCCTCTTGATTGGCAGTGCTTGAAGCTATTCTTCTATTCTTCTGGAAATTTCTTCCCAAATATAGGAAGGTAAATAAGAAAAGCATAATAAAAAGCATTAAAATGAATCATTCATGTGCACTTCCCCACTTTTTCCCAACTTAATTCAAGGCCTAAAACCCAAGGTACTTATAACTTGATGATAAAATTGATAGGCTTGGACGTCACTGAATTTGCAGTGAGAGGGAAGTCTATAATTGTGGGGAATCACCAAGAATGTCAGTCTTTGCAATAATCTTGCTTCTTGAACTTGAACCATACATACTATGAACACAAGATCATCTCTAGCTGATGCCAGAATGTGTTCTCATAAAAAATGGTATTCAATAAATCTTGTAAGCATTCTGGGGAAAAACACATAGAGAAGTGATGGACAAATATTCTAGCCCTGCTCATACTCTTTTCCTGCTTGTATTGATTGGAAAGGTTTGCAGAAAGGCTGGAACTGCAGTTAGTTTAATGTTGTTATAACTCTCTCTGCATTTGAGAACCCATCACCCTTCCTAGTTATTCTGATAGTTGTAGCTTCATTGAGCTAAATATGGTTACCACTCATTGTAGACTTTCAACATGTGGAGTTTATGTGTGGAGGAGGCATTTCTAATTTTCACAGACCATTTTTTTATAAGTCCTTGAATGCTAATATTTTTGTTTCTTGGGTCTTTATTGTACTAGTAAACAAAGGGGAGGTATGACAATATTGCCATACTAACAGATCTCTCCCATTATCAACAAATGGCAAAATCCAGTAGAAACTGTCATATTGAACTTCTATTAGTGTGTGAGTGCTGCAGAAGAAGATAATTCCATCCCTGCATATGTTACAACCACTTTGATAGAGTGTACATCCAGTAGCGTGAGTCAGAGCATCTTATTCCTGATTAAGAACATTAAACATTCAGAGTTACAATTGAGTGGGAAGGTCTTGTGAATTTTGATTGAAAACAAAGCAAGGAGTTTGATATTGAGTAATTTCAAACACCATTTCATTTAACTTTCTTCCCAGTGAGAAGACTGTTCTCTCCCCAATAGAATATCAGAGGTTTTTAAAAGCTGGGGTTTTATTAAGGCTATCAGAACTGGCCTGCAGAAATCCTGATGGCCACTAGATGGCAGCAAAGATTAAGAGTTTTCCATATCTTTGCTGCCATGTACTGATCATGCAGTATTTTGCAGTCCAGATATGGTGGCCCAAGGTTTTATATTATAGTTGTTCTGTAGCAGGTAAAATAGTTTATGTCTGTGCATTTTCTATAGGAGATTGTTATGCTTTCAGGTCGCAGTGTTCAGTTATGTCAATGTTTCTTCAACTTTTCAAGGCTATAGAACTTGTAATTTTTTAAAGAGATGAACATTTATCACTTTCTTTCACATAAATAAACTGAAGATTAAAATAAAACTTATTTTAATAATAATTTTCTTTTTCATTGCCTTTAGTATATCAGTTATAAATCTTAATGAGATGTATAAGCTTTTATATGATAGCATCTTCAAAATCAGGAGTGAGTTTTTTTAAAAAAAGTTTTATGGATAGCATAATTCAGCTTTTTTATAAATATTTGGTCTTGGTTGCAGTGAATGCTGAAAATCCATTTTTCATAAAGATGTATTGAAAGAAAGATAGTAGGACCTTCAGTGCCAGTGAAGGTCCTTGTGGAACATCTTCAAGTTGTTCATGGGACAAAGTACATCATTTAAAAAAATACTGACATACAACTTTAGACTTCATTTATCTTCAATTTATCCCTGCTTTTCTTTTCATTCAGCTTTTCAGATCATTAAGCTTTCAGTGCTTTGAGAATCCATTTTACGGAGAACCAAGGCTACTGAATCCATTTCATTACTGATTACTCACTGTTCCCTTTCTGTTAATCTTTTGTCCTCCTGATTCCCAGAAACTACTATACGGGGGGTCTTCAGCAAGCAGATGAGAAAAGATACAGAGTACAGTTGAGTTATGAGGTGAAAGCAACATGCCCTGGGGAGTCTAATGGCTTAATCCGTTCCCAATTTCCTTCTGTATTACAGAGTGGAAGTTGAGTGAATGGGGCAGTGTTCATCCACTCTGATGTAACAGGCAGAAACCTGTGCTCACTGAAAGTCCTGCTAGGGAGGGAGGAAGAGAGATGTGGGTGGGAATAAAACAAACTGCTGGCAGTGTAGTCCTACTGTAGACTGTTACAAAGGAGAGGGCTGGAGTTCCCTCCAATTTCTCCAGGCCATTCGGTGCATCTGTCTCACCCATAAAAATGGCTTCACATGAATGACTAACCCTTTCTTGTTTTTCTGCCTGCAGTACAATCCCTGCAGGGGGTGCCCCTTTCCCGTTTTGATGCCTCTTTGCTGATTGAGAGTCCTGATGATTCATTAGGAAGGAATTCAATCCAAATCAAAACTGAATGAACTTGTCTTGATATAGGCATAGTCTTCAATGATGTATTCTATTTTTTTCTTCAGAATACTACTAGTCAAATGCTTTCAAGATGAAATGGTAGACAAATTTAATGTTTGGGGCTTTGAATATGTCCCATGTTAATACTACCAGTTCTTGATTCTCTGATGCCCTCTTCAGATTGGAGCTGCTGCTGGTCTCTTTTGGCCTCTTAAACACTCTTAGCTGGTCTGCTCATTAGAATACACATAATCCCTGAGAAGAGGGCAGGAAGAAAAGAGTTATGACAGAGAAGAGCTACATTGGAGGGTGTGTGATTTTGTTTTTGTCAAAATTTATTGTCTGTTACAGTGTTGCTTATAAAATAAATATAAAAACCCTGTTTCTGATGGTGCTTATAAAATAAACTCTGCTAATTTAGTCTTGGCAATACTTGGCAGTGGGTGATATTACAGAGGGCTAGATCTCAGGGGAAAAGAAGCTGGACCATTGGAAGCAGCAGCAAAGGCTACCCTTGCATCAGGGATGAAATAATTATAGCAGAAAAGGGATGGAATAACAGTGTTACAATCCTTGTATTTTTATAGCATAACTAACTATAGAGGCTTAGAGTCTGCATCCCAGCACTGTGGCACAGTACCAAAAAATGTACCACAATGGAAAAGAAAATACACGCAATTATCTTTATAACAGCAGTTTTTTGTGCTTACATATATGTTCTATTAGCCCCACAACAACATGGAAAATTTGATTAAAAAGTCAGTCATGAAATAGCTACAAGACAAAAATATATACGACCTGTAGATTATATCCAAAGATTGTCTGAATGATTTATAATATTTTGTATGCTACCCACCCCTTTAAAGGCTCAAGACAGTTTACAGAACTCAGTTTAACCACAGATACACAATTAAAATAGCCTGAAAACAATGCATTTTAAACAAAACTTTCCAATAGTTGAAGCAACCAAAACAATTAGAAGGCTTGAATAAACAAGTATGCCTTAAACTGTAATAAGGAGAGGACTTCATTCAATTTCAGTGCCCGTTTGTTTCAAAACATGGGCTCCATCACAGAGAAAACAAAATGAATTGTAGATGTCAAATGTATCTTTTGACAGTTTACATGTCTCCATTAAAAAGAAAATAGGCAGATTTCTATTCCCATAATATTCTGCTAGTTTGTTCATATTCTATTCTGTTACCATTTCTTCTGAAATATTTAACCAATCCTTGAATGAACACTTACTGTATCTAGGCCTTCAATCATACCACTGATTTGGGAATAAATCCAGTTGAACTTAGTTGTGCGATCATGTACACAAATGGGTTTGAAAGCTGTGTCTTGGGGCAAATATTCAGTGCCAGTGGCACGTGCACTTTCCATATGCTTTCACCTAACTGCAGCACTCCAGTGCATATGCTGTAACAAGTTTAAAGCAATTGAGTTAAATAACAGTGGCGTACGAGAATGAGAAAAGTTGTTTGGGATCTTTAACTGAAACTTCATTATACCTGCATCATTATTATCTAGCGCATCTGTATACTTGATTTCTTCCGTATGTAACTCAAGGTGGCATAACTGGGATTCCTATGGTATCCCTTACAAGAGGGATATAATGCATCAAATTAATTAATATTGAAGCATGTTCCCTTTTATTTTGAGACTTCCAGATCCCATGTATTCTCATTTCTGGAATATGCATGGCCTAGGCAGTGCTGAGTTTCTGCATGAAATGGAGCTCCTTGCCTTTAAAAGTCTCCTGGGAGACTGCTTGTGTGCACAAGCTTTTGGCGTTCATAGGAGCTTAATCCATATATGTTTAGAGTAGATAGGTTCAGCTGACATATAAGATGTTTTGTCTCTTATGACAATTCAAATAACAGATTTCATGAAAAGGCTCATTTGAGAGAGAGGGAGAGAGAGAGAGAGAGGGAGAGTCAGCATTTCCAGTGCTCTGCCAAGCAAGCTCGCTGTCTTCTCTTCCGCCACCCTCCCTCCGTTCTGCTGCTCTGATAGATCAAAGGCTTTCAGTCTTGGTTATATGCTGTGTGGCCACGGAGGATACGAGATCAGGACTGTGAGCTGTGCTAGTTAAAGCTGGGATCGGGCTGCTTATGCAAGACCTGAGAAAATCCTAGAAGGCCTGTGCTTTGGGAATGAAAATGTGGTTTAATTTCTTTCTTTTGTTTTCCAGCAGCCATTAGGGAATAAGCAGCTGGCATTCCAACAACAGCTCCTGCAGATGCAGCAGCTGCAGCAGCAGCACCTGTTAAACCTCCAGCGACAAGGGTTGGTCAGTTTACAGCCAGGACAAGGCACCGTTCCTCTGCAGACCCTTCCACAAGGTAATGCACATAAGCTTCCTTGCTTTTTAATTGCTGTAGGGGGAACCCACCCAGCCATTGCAGCGATTAGCTTTGCCAGGTGGTTGTCGGTTAATTTTAAAAGCTGCCTGTTGTCCATGTACTGGAGACCTGATGCTTGCTACGCTTTAAGTTTTGCTGTCAAACAGCCATCAATAAAGCATTATTAGATTGGAATGCAACGGGCATCTGATTAAGGAACAGTACAAGGAATACCTTGGAGATGTGTTGCTGACAGTAATGGGAGAGAACTGGGCCTAATGCACCTTTCGTGAAAAATACAATCACTGGCGAGTAGTAGAAGCTCCTCTTGGGTGCTGCTGCTGCTGCTGTTTTGACAGAAGAAGAGAATGTGTATGTAACAGCCTTGCTTTATTCCACAGACCTTATGTCCTCTGTATCAGAAAAACTGTCTTTAAGGGAAGCAGCAGAGTTTGGGCTGAAATCATGTTAAATATGAGAGTTCCAAGCATAATAATATGTGATGGGGAGGGATGGACAACAAGATGGGAGTGAAAGCACTATTTGGGTTTTCTGATAAATGGTGGTTGTTAGCAGCAATGTACCTGAAAGCTCCTTTCTTATGCCCTTCTGCAACACACACACACATGCACCACCTATCAACGTCTGTCAAATTCATGATTAAGAAAATTTGAGGTGGAAAGCCAGAAAAAGTCCATATAAACCATTGAAATTACAATCTGATATTCTGGAGTCATCCTAATTATGGGAAGGAAGGAAGTAGTTAACTGCGTGCCAATACAGAATGAACAATTAATTCTTAAGTTACGTCCTGAAAGATAGTATATATACTAAGGACACAAGCTTCATCTATCTATCTGAAAGGCATTCAGATCCTGCTGGACAACAGATAACTGAACCAATCTTCAAGGGCCATGTTTCTTCTATTAAAGTTACAAAGCTAGCTATCAATAGATTTTATAAATAGATTAACTCAATTTGGACATCACCCTTTATAATCCAAAACCACCAGAATTAACTGCAGCAAGTCTTAAGATTTTTAGCAGTCTCTCTTCACTCTCCTTCTCTGGCATGTTCATGTGAAGTTTGCAATCAGCTTTCTCTTATGATTTTAGTTAATGCCATTTAGACATTTCTCTGAATCCTAAATTGTTTGGTAAATTGATCCAAACAAGATAAATAATGGTTTGTGGGTTTGATAAAATTACAAGCCAGCGGTCAGTCTAACTTGGAAGAAAAGCTTCTGAATATTTCTTTTCATCCATATGAATAGATCAGAGAAGGAAGCATGCAATCTCCCCCTGCCCTCAATATATCTCACTTTAAACTATGCTTCATTGTGACCTGAGAACTTGTCTATTCTATCAGGGTATAGCTTTATAGGATAAAGTCCTCTCAGATATCTACAAAGCTAGTTTCCCAGTAAATATTACCAATTTGTTCTAGAGGGCAAGAAACAAAATGCCCTTAATTAGGTATATCAGGTGTCTATGAGTCATATGGGCTATGAAGTTAATCAAAAACATTCAGATTAAAAATTCAAATTGCAAAATAATTTAATTTTGATACACAGACTTGATCCTAGCTAGAAGTGAGAAATAGATACAAATATAATCCACTAAATATCTGCCCTGTCTTGAGTGCTAAGAAAAGATACATTCTATACCCATTCTAGAGTGATAATTGTGTAGAAGCCTTAACTCTTTGCTCTACCAAACCTAAAAATATCAAAAGTATGTGTATTTTCTCCATAATCCTTTAATGTGTGTGTGTGTGTGTGTGTGTGTATATGAATGACAGGATTGTGTGGTTCTTTGCATCATACCTCATTGTTCTTTTAGAAAGAAAAGAGAAAACCATCAGCAGATTACTCTTTTGCTGTTTCCAGTATATTTGATGGTATAGAATACAGGTAGTCCTTGACTTATGACCATTTATTTAATGACCATTCAAAGTTACAACAGTGCTGAAGAAAGTTACTTACGACTGGTCCTCACACTTACGACCGTTGCAGCATCCCCACAGTCACGTGATCAAAATTTGGGTGCTTGGCAATCAGCGTGTGTTTACAATGGTTGCAGCATCCTGGGGTCACATGATTGCCATTTGCAACCTTCCCAGGGGGCTTCTGACAAGCAAAGTCAATGGGGGAAGCTGGATTCACTTAACAACCATGTGATTTGCTTAACGACCGCGGCAAAAAAGGTAAAATCAGGCATGACTCACTTAATGACTGCATCACTTAGCAATGGAAGTTCCGGTCCCAATTGTGGTCTTAAGTCAAGGGCTACCTGTAAGTGTTACAGTTTTGGAAATTATCCCTGCAAAAGTGGATGATATAGTGTGTCAAAAATATTGATGTTCAACATAGTATACTAACCTTGAATCAGTGTGACAAATACCATGAACATCTATGATTACTTCTCTCTCAGTTATTTTAGAGTAAAAAACAGGCAGGAATCTATGAAACTGATAGAAGAAATGTTTAGTCCTGTGGAGTTTTCCCCAACTTGAAATTTCTTTTTCTAAAGGTTTGCTTTGTTTTACAAGAGAAAACATACAACTACTTGTATATTTTCTTCCAGAGGGCAAATGCAAGGCAGATGGTGGTGGATCAGAGCAATGGTCCTCTTCAGATCCCTGTCTCCAGCTCAGTAGGAAAGGGCTACTTTTTACTGCTGAAAAAGATACACTCATATATGATCATAGTTCTTTAATTGTCTTGTCATGTCAGAAAATGAGATTTCAGTTTCAAAGATCCTAAATTTTTAGTACATGTTATGCTTGGTGTTTTATTTTATGCAAGGCCTTAAGTAGGATCTTAAGTGCAGTGCCCACAGCTGCACTTATGTCCCTAGAAGTTAGCTATTTTTTAAAAAAAATAAATAAATAAAAATGGGCACAAACAGACAAGATAGCCCAATTTTACAAGATCTGTATTATCACATATGATCCCATGAGAGTTTCACATTTTTTTTCCTTTCTTTTTTTGTAATTTTTGGCACCGTGAATCACATGAAATCTCATCATGGTGTTCTGTGCCTGAAAAGCTACTAACCCCTGATGGAGCAGGAAACCAAATGTTCATACTGATGCTTAGCCCATTATATACTAAGGATTCTAGGTCAGCCTTCCCTAGCTAGCATAGGTGTGACTGAGAATTCTGGAGCTGAAGCCCCAACATCTGAGGATATCAGCGCTAGGCGAACTAAAATAATTTTACCAAAAGAACATCACCCCTTATCAATAAATAATATTTTAGATACTGAGGTGTAAAGTTCATTCTGAATATTAGGCTTGCATTTTCCTCTGGCATAATTTACATAAAAGTGGTAGATTAGATGGAGTTTGTATTTTGTAATTTTAAGTAGCAATATATATTTAGATTTTACTTAACACTGATTAGTTTGTCTCTTAATATTTAACTGATTTATAGTTTGGATTTGTTTTTTCATGATAATTTGTCTTATCTGTAGAGATTCTAATGCTGCTTTCTTTAAGGAAATGATAGAAGATTGAAATATCCACACTATTACTCTGCAATATGTTTAAGCGTTGTAAAATATCATATGCTACAATTTAATAGCAATATGGAGAGTTTATCAATAGATAAGAGGCTGATATAAATTAACTCTTTTTTTGCCACTTAACTAAACTAAACTGGGAAGCCAGACCTTCACAGTTGTGGAGAAGTTCTGGAGATTCTTAAAAATAAATCTCTCTCTATTCCCTCCCACCCCCCAACTTCCCCCTACAACACATCTGAAGCTGTGTGTCCCTCAGACCTTCAGCAGCTGTGGAAAGAGGTTACTGCTACTCAACCCGTAGAAGAAAGCATCAAGCAAGAGGGACTTGACCTCAGCACCAACACTTCGAATTCTACCTCGTTTTCGGCTGCCAAGGTCTCTCCTCCAATTTCCCATCACCCTCTCCCCAATGGACAGAACGCCATGCTCGCACAAAGGAGGGACAGGTGAAGCTAATGGACCTTTATGCGTAAAAGAAATAGATTTTATAAAAAGTAGATTTAATCTCTCTACCGACCTTTACTTCCATATGTTAAAGTCTACATGCATAATTGGACAAACCCTGAAATCTATTTTTGTCTCCTGCATTCAGATCTAAGGCACTGATGCTGTTCATTTCAATTTGGGGCAGTATCAGCAAAGTGGATTTAGAATCAAATTCTGGTTTTAACAGTTTAGGGCAGCAACCTATGGCTGAAGTGTAGGGTCTCCTGAAGTCAGCATCCAGATTTTGGTGCTGTCCCATCAGTCGCTGAACACGCCCTACATCAGTATCTAGAAAATAATAATACTCCTTCTAAAAAAATATTATCAGGAGGTGGCTGGCTCCTATATGGTTATGGATGCTGATTTTAATTTTTTTTCTTTTTAAATTACAATATTTGTTAATTCAACAAAAATGGTATATGTTTACAAATATACATATGTAGCATCAGGACAGCAGAGGAGAGGTCAAACTGAGTCTTTTTTTTTTAATATATAATTTTTATTGAAACTTTTAAACAAGAAAATAAAAACTAACACAAACTAATATAAAGTAGGGAAAAGAAATAACAAGAAAAAGAAAAAAGTACAAGAAAAGAAAGAAAAAAGGTATAAAGAAATGGTTTCTGATGTTCTTTACAGCAGTTATAAGTACAAATATAGTTTAACCTCTCTCTCTAAACTTACATCATATTACTCTTATTACTCTTATTTCTATAATAGCCGCCCAGAGTCCCCTATTGTGGGGGAGATGGGTGGGGGAGAAATTCAATAAATAAATAAATAAAATAAATATAATCTATCTAATCATCAAAACCAAAAATCACAAGTTCTTTTTTTTTCATTATTATGCAAAAAGTCCTTAAGAGGTCAAACTGAGTCATGATGGTACTATGATCTGAATTTCCTGTTCAAAATGGTATATGATCAGAAGCCTTTTTTTTTTGTTCCAACAAATCAGGTTTATAGAAGTAAATATAATGCACGGAATGATAGTAAATGCAACAAAAGAAACAAGCTGTCTGGTTACAAGGCAAAAATAGTCCGAAAGGAAAGGAAAGGAAACAAGCCAAAAACTGACAAAACAAGTCATGATTATTTTGCTCATCTGCAAAGCTTATTCTGTCTTGTTCAGCAGACCATGGTGTAAAAAGTTGTTACTGTGCAATGTGTGAACCTAGTCATGGTCACATAAGGAAAGTTCCCCTTAAGGTCACTGAATTCAAAATGTAAAATTAGCTAGCTACAGCACTGTGGGGGTAATTCTTTCCTTGCTAGCTCAAATGCTCTTTTGATTCATTAGTACAAACATGGGCTGAATTTTTCAGCTTGCAGTGACCACAATTGGGACTGGCAGCTCTGTCATTAAGCAAAGCGGTCGCTAAGTTGGAAATCACTTAACTGTGACACTGCTTTCCTTTTCCTCACTCCCTTGTCCTTTGGAATGTTCACCCTGGTGCTAGGATAATTAACAAGAAGGGAATTAATGTTGGGATTACAAGAGAGTAAGCAGGCACACAATTGGGAATACAGCAGCTGGGGCTAGGAGCTACAAGCATGCTTGGGCTGTTGGTGCCACTTCATTCCTTTCAGTGTGTATTCCCCATTGTGTGCTTGCTTACTCTCTTACTCTCCAATCTCTGCGGGGGCGGGGGAGAGAAAAACAGCAGGGCAGGGCAGGCACAGGACAAGACATACTGACTGTAATGGTGATCATGTGACTGAGGAACGCTGCAAAGTTCATAAATGTGGGCATTGGTTGTAAAGTTATTTTTTCAGCACCTTCGTAACTTCAAAGGGTTGCTAAATGAGGCAGTAAGTGAGGTCTCCTTTATTACACAAGTTTGCTCACCCTTCCCAGCAATCATTAATGTTTGCTAATGTTAGGGAAATGGTCAGAAGTTGAACTGTTAGGAGTCTACAATTTTCTACACTCCTAGATCTTGTGTACTCTACCAGACAGCTTAAGAATGTGGGGGCTTGAAACTATTCTTTGGGATAGACTCATGGCAATGAGAAGAAGGCTGCTTGGTCAGTAATACATTCTATATATCAGTAATACATTCTGTGTACCTATCAGCATCACAAAGATTCAAAGTACATTGAGAGGATGTTCTATACCAGTGCCTCTGGTCTAGGAAGCTAGAGCCATTTGGTAGTCCATTTAAGGTGCATGCACAAATGAATATTTCTGTCTTTGGAATTTTTGTATATGTATACATGTGTGTATACCAAACAGATTCCTGTTTTTTGTTTGTTTGCTTTTTGCTGGGGAAAAATATGATATGATATTGCACTGAACTCACTTTGTGTGAGATGGGCCGCTATATAAATATGATAAATAAATAAATAAATAAACAAACTCTGCACCATGGTTACATTCTGTATCAAGCTCCATAATTGCTGCTTTATTGTTAAAACCAAGACCTTAATATTTTAGGGATAATTTTTATGGTTGAGGTACTTGATAGGTTCCTAACAGCACACTGAATGCCAGACCAGTGATAGTTTCTGAATGGATGCAATCTCATATTATAATTTGCGTATAATAAAGCATGAGCTGGGTCACATTTTTCCAGAAGGCTCACATTTGCCATACCTCTTGGACATCCCATCTGTAGGATAGATCTAAGATGAACCAAGATGAGCTAGTTCATTCTGCTTGCATATGTTTGCAGATTATGTTTGAGCTACTGAGCAATAATTGTCTTCACTCCTGTTTTGATCATGCAGATGAATGACTGCTGATCACAGCTGCTCAACATAAGGAATGCACCTTCTGCCAATTCAGAGAGCATATCAGATTCTTCTAAAATTCCTATGTTGATGTTTCTTTTGTTTACCAGTACAAATACATTATATAAGATATGCCTCGTCCAAAAATCAGAGATATGAAAGGCTAGGGAAAATATCCCCTTTCCAACTTTATAATCCCTAGTATGCAGAACAGAGAAGCCTTTCAGCAATAATATTTATTTTGTTTTTCTTTGCCCCCACTTGCAGCTCTTCTCATGAGGAGACTCCTGGCTCACATCCCCTGTATGGACATGGGGAGTGCAAATGGCCTGGTTGTGAAACCCTCTGCGAGGACTTGGGACAGTTTATCAAGTAAGAGACATACTTCAGCCCAGTTTTTTTTCCTGAGCTGCTACGCTCATTAGCCAAACCTATACTTTCTGTTTTCATTAATCTGTAGCACAGTGTAGAGTTAAATGTATAAACAAGAAACACCCGTTATTATTGCTTTTGGATCATAAGGATGGTTTCCTTTGAGCTGTGCTTAGTTAACTTTGGCATTTCAGAAGATAGTTTTGCTGTCTATAAAGTAGTTGCCTAGCAAGGTTTGAGAATCTAACTCCTCTTTGGAACTGAAGCAGAGATATCTGCCATTGTTATATGTAGAAACATAGATCACAGTATGTGCTTCTCAATTTCCCTTCCATGAAATGGAGCTAAGTCACTCTGCTCCTCAGTTGTGAAATATAGTTAGGTTCCCATTATATACTTTATAGGGAGAATGTCAAAAGCTATGAGGCACCATGACTATATAGTAAGAAGTACAAAAGGGCTGTAGACAAGAGAAAAGAAGCTGAGGGGATCTACAGAGATGAGACCAGCAAAGTTTATAACTTGTCCATGTTAGGCAAAGGAAAGCAGGGAGGTGGGGGTGGAGGAGAGAACTAGAGAGAAACAGATGGCAGCACGGCAGCCTGCTGACACCGCTTGTGGGCTCTGTCACTGACTGATTAACTCTGCTGTCTAAGAGCCCTCTGCTAGCGTCAGGGTCAAACAAATTGTTTTCACGCTTCGTCAGAGGTTTACTTAATTAGTTCATTTGCAATTAGATCTCTTTGTAGCCAAGATTTTTAGCAAAGACATCAGATGAAACTGACGGGTTTTCTTTTTCTTGCCTCTTTGGGATTTTCCCCTCCCCTTCTTTGCTTTGTGACTACACATGCTCCCCCTCCCACATGCACATATACCTCTGCTTGTTTTCAGCCCCCCCCCTTCCCACTCTACTGCCTTTTGAACAGAGTGTTATGGGGGGTGGAAATGATGTTAAGAAGGCGGGAGATCTTGGGAAGCACAGCCTGTGTTCCTAATCAGACAGTGTGTAATATTATTCTGCAAACTGAGTATTTCAACAAATCTTCCTTTTACTAGTGGAAGATCACTACAGTAGTCAACAAGTGTCAACTGTAACAGACTTGGACTCTCCTTCAAAACCCTTTCCAGCATTTTGCATTTCAAAATGAGAAGGGCAAATGGAGAATTGTTTTCATCTCTATATGTATGTTTACTCCCCCAACCTCCCCCCCAAAAAGGGCCTCCCAGTATTAGCGAACCACAGCCTGCTTCCCTCCATCTCAGTCCTCACACATAAGGATGTCCTGACATTGCTTAAAATGTCAAGGCATCCTTATTTGTGAGGATTGAGATGGAGGGAAGCAGGCTGTGGTTTGCTAATATTGCACAGAATGTTGTTTAATAACTAAACCAAGAATCTTGGAATGAGATATAGTTTATTTCATTGGCTGACATTAAGACAACTTACACTCAAAGCTTAATTTCATTTCAAAACTTACATCTTTAAGTCTGGGTTTGTTCTGGCTTTATTAACTTAAGGCTGTGATGCTTCAGTCATTGACCTGAACTTCACAACAGCAGAATTCTTAAACCAGAAAAGTTTGTTTAGGAGCCTACAACAAAGAGACTGCTGCTAAAATGTAAGAAGAACGAACATCTACAGTATGTCTTTGTAATCCATGTCACCAAGATGAAGAAATAAAAATAGAAAATAGAAAATAATGAATTGTTATTGTTCTGTTTAATTGGTTTGTAAACATGATGTTTTGATTCTGTGATTCAGGATCTCCACCTAATCTTTTGATTGTCCCTTTCAAACTATAAAAATCTGGGCTTGAATTTGTTGTGTATATATAGTGCCATTAGAGAATCAACTCTGAAAGAGGAAGTTCTGGAGACAGATCCCTGCTCAGTTTATTGGGCTACTGGATCAAAGTTACTAATAGACTAGCTGAGAGTTACTTCTCCATAGGATATTTTTCAGAGTTATTGTCATGATAAAATAGAAAAACCTACTGTATGTTGCTGTGAGCAATTCAGAGGAAAAACAGAATGAAAGTCTGATAAATAGGAAAAAGTACGTGTATAACACAGATTAGATTGCAATTCTTAGCAAACATATAAAACATCAAAACAAAAAGGCATGAATGAGTTCTGGTTGTTTAAGCACTGCTCATTTCAAATCCTTAGAGAAAAATGGATATTTTCTATTTTTAGACACCTCAATACAGAACATGCACTTGATGACCGGAGCACGGCTCAGTGTCGAGTTCAAATGCAAGTGGTACAGCAGCTGGAAATACAGGTCAGTATAAATGTATGCAATAAGCTATGAAAACATCCTAGAAGCTGTAGTCTTGAGTATCCTTTTACCTGGTTTAAGGTTTACTTAAAAGCTATCTCCCACATGGTTTTTATTCCTTTATTTGACCACTGTTATTTTTGAATTGCATTCTGCCATCTGATTACAGTAAATGGAAAATGGAAGTACGAATTGGATTCAGCTGGCACAGTTGCCACAGTCATCACAGAACATGTTTCATTGTTACAAGAATGGCAGTCGCTGTACCTTTTTTTGAATACCACCTGGTTCACATTTCATTTTTCTACTTCACAATGCATATACTTCATGATGTGCTAGAAAACTGCTCATATGGAGAGAAAAACACTCTTAGTGAATAGCAGCTTGAGGTTTTCATGATGTATTCTGATGCAGCAGGTTTTCTCATCAGTTACATGTTTGTCAAATCAAAGTCGGCTACTGTGGCTTTCAAAGTTTAATATAAAAGGAAGCAAAAACATGGTGGACTCCTTGCTTGATATCCTTGGACTTCTAACATAGGAAAATTGTAACTTAGGGAGCAATGGAAACTGATTTAATAGGCTGATTATTTGCACACCTCACTTGTAGAAAGACTCTTGGATGCGTGAAGGAACCACCAATAAATCCAGCAGTGCTTGCTAAATGTGCAGACATTGCTTATATGCCATTGAACTGATTTTCACAATCTTCCCTCACCCCGGAATTTCATTCTATGGTTCCAGAACTGAACACATTTTAGAATGTGTTATATGTGTTTATAGATTTTTAATATGAGTAACGGAATTATCAAAAATACGTAGCTATGTTCAGAAAGCAGCAGCAGCAGCAAAATTTTCTTTCTTTCCTGGGAATATCTAGTAAAGCAAAATAATGCAGATTTCCATATTTCCCCAAAAACAATTGCCAATGAAGTGGGGAAAGAATTTAAAAAACAAAACAAAATATGCAACATGGTATCTTTATGTCACACGTTTCATATTTTGAATGTTACTACAAGGACAAGTGATACACTGCTACTGATCTGTATGGCAGCCATGTAACAACTATAACATTTATTTGAGGGCCAGAAATTATAAACAGTGACAGAAGGCTGTAACATTAACGGATTGAAAGACAGTATCTCAAAGGGTGATGAGAGAAGTGGATATGTGGAGGTAACTATAAATGGTTGTTAAATGTATAGGATATGGTAAAACAGCATGTAACCTATGATATGTAACAGGGCATGCCCTTTGTTTTTAAACATATTTTTCAGCTTTTTCTATAGACCCTGCCAGCACTGATGCCTGCTTGATGAACTCTAGAGAGATGGAGCAGGAGTTTCTTTTTATCCTTGTTGAATAGATTATATATGGGCTAAGCAATGTGGGGCTGAAAGCAGGAACATTCCCTGGAACATGACTCTGCAGCAACAGGATTAGTGGCAGAGGAAGGAGACTGCCAGGGAGATAGCCAGTTATAACACACAGTGGAGGCAATTTCTGTTGAAAGTTAAAGGTGCAGATGGGGTTGACTAGAAGAGAATGTATCATTTATGCCAAGTAAAATAAAGTAAGAAAGAGTATTGCATTTAAAAAGCAGAGTTAAGATTTTTAGAACTGTCAGTCAAATATGTGATTTTTATCCTGTTCTCAAACAGGCTTTCAAGCAATTATTGGGCCTTAAAAGAGGGTTATGAGGGAGAGAATCCTTTAAGAAAGCAGAAAGTTGCATGTGTGAAAAGGAGAAACTGCCACTGCTCCCAATTATAAAGTTTTCACTGTAGAGCTCCTACAGTGCATCACAGGAGTGGATCTGTCAGCTGTAATGAAAGCCACAATACTGTCAGGTCATCCTTGTGTCAGAACCTCTCAGGCCTTCAGCAGACTCAATGCTGCATTTAATTTGTGCCTTTTTAGCCCTCATCTTTTCTTCTGGGCAGGGATTCCGGACCTCATAAGAAGAGAAGTGTCCCTTTTTGGGTAAACCCTACAATCTGCTTCAGGACCCATCAGGTCTGAGTGGAACTTAAGTAAAGTTTAAACATTTAGAAAAGGTGACATTGAAAGAAATAGTGCAGGTTCCACTGTTTTTACAGCACTCAATCTCTTTAGTGCCATAGCAAATATTTCATCCTTCCCCGCGCCTAGAGAAATAAACTCTCTCTCACACACATAAAACATGCAGTTTAAATAATATTGTACAACTGAAGAGGTGGATAGGTAGGTGAGTGGATAGATTGAGAAAAACAAGAGGAAAAGTGAACAGATACAAGATATTAGAAATATGGGCAAATGACAAATTAGGAGCAAGGAGCGAAAGAAGACAAGAGAATGTATCTGACAGGAAAGGGTATCAGAAAGATGGTAGACTAGTCTAGTGGCACTCGTTATGGGACAGGATCCGAATACCAGATACATGTAGAGAAAATAACTCATAAGTTCTGTTGGATGTCAAGAAGAAAAGCCGAGTGGAAAGATATTTTGGGATGCTCAATTCTGTATGTGGTACATAGCTTTACTTGTTTGTAATAGCCTGTCTCTGTACACCCAAAACTAATTTCCTTACAGTAGATGCATCAGAGCAGAAAATATTGCCACACATCCTGATCTTCATATCCAGTTGTGAAAGATAATAATTTAGTGGCCTGGAAATGTAGTACCCTTGCCAGAGTCATGACATTAGGGAATTAGAAAAGTTAACAGTTTTTCCATTCCAGGTGTGCTCTAAAAGGCAACAAGGCAAGAGCTAAAGGAACAGCTTTGTAATGCCACATTACAGCATGTAAGAAGAATTAGTCAAGATGAGAGGAGAGCATGTATACACTGAAGCTGAATGGGGCAAGCAAAAGGGGCTGTTTTTGGCCCTTGCTGATGGAAAGGGGTCCATTCAAGGGAATGATTATCAAGTGAACTCTTATCTTGGCCCTTTTTTTAAATAAGTGAATTGACCATTGTAAGGATGTTTCCTCCTAACAAACAACTTCCTGTTTGGTTCTCTCCACAGCTAGCTAAAGAAAGTGAACGTCTCCAGGCGATGATGGCCCATCTCCATATGAGACCTTCAGAGCCAAAACCCTTCAGTCAGCCTGTAAGCAATGTTCTGCTCATTTTTCACACATACACCCTAACTTCCCTTTATAATAGGAATTATTCTAAGATGATGTCATAATCTTAATGGATTGATTCAGGGCTGAAAACCAACTTTGACTGTGACATTATTGCTAAGCTTAAAGTGGAGGTACTGTTTCTGAGGAGCCCATTATGAGCTACCCAACTTTGAGATGACAGCATGAAGATAATGTGGAAGACAAAAGATTTTTGTCCTTATTGAAGATGCTAAATAAGATGTTACTGTTTTCTCAAGCAACTTGTTTGAATGCTTGGAGATTACTCTCTTCAGATGAAATCATGGAGGTCAGATGAGATTATAACTGACAGGCCAATCAGCTATTCCGGTTTTATCATAGTGATGCAGTTGTTCTAGTGGTTGTCTTCGAATCCTCTTAGGGACTCAGGTTTCCATTTCTGCATGGTTTCCTAGAAGGATGATCCAAAGGTTAGATAAGCTCTTCCAGGCAATGGCCTGTCCCCTTGTGACTCCATAAAGCACTGTAATGTGGCTGGCATGCTGTATAAATAAAAATAATAGGTAATTTGCTAGGTCTGCTTTAGGAGTGTTGATCTGTTCTTTCTGTATCCAGGCTGACTGAAATTATTTTGATACAGCACGGCTTACAGTCATGTCTGGTTAGCCAAAACTGCTGGTATACACAATGAATAGAAAAGAAAATGTCATTCTTGAACTGAGAAAACGAAATGTGTAGAAAGACTGCACTGCTGCTTATGTGAGGGACTACCAGCAAGAGCTGAAAATGTTGAGACAGCAGACACAATCCTGATGTCATGACTGATACTAACAGGCCCTAGGAACTTACATGTAGGGTGTGCCACTGGCTCCTTCCTGATATGTTGCCCATTTAAGTGTTTATTAGCCATTCCATGTGGCTTCTAAGAAAAGCCAGCTTGTGACATAGTTCTTATACCATTGATGCCCTAGACACATCAGTCAGGAATCCTGCTAGAAGAACTTGCATTGTTAACCCAAATATTTAATGTCTGCCTTTTGCCATCCTATTCTGCATTTTGCCCATATGGCATCTGGACCCCACTACCACCGGGGATAGTCCATGAGAAGGAGGGCAGGTGGAATCATAACTTGAGGAAGGAGTAAACAAATATGTTGCTACCACTGCCTCAGAATAGTTTATTGGAAGACGTTTATGTCCTATCTTTCTGGTCAAAAGCATCAAACAGGATGGATTATATCATGTAAAAATTGCAAACAAAATCAGTAGTTACAATTAAAATGTAAAAGTATCTGCTACACAAAACAAAAACGTAGAATATAATTGCCTTCAGCAATCAGTGAAGACCAGGGAAGAAAGGGGGCAGCTGCCCTAGGCAAAACATTTCTTAGTCTGGGCACGGCCATTGAGAAGACCTGTTTTTCCCTCTCAAACATGTTTTTATCATAAACAGGAAACAGAAACACCCCTCCTTCTGTACTTAGCAGTCAAAATACAGGAAGGAGAAACATGCTAAACTGTTCTGTATCTCAGACACCAGCATTTTGAATTGGACCTGGAAGCTGTTTGATAACCAGTGCAGCTCTTATAGGTTTGGTATAATGTGATTACTTATTTATTGTTTGGGGGGAATTGTGTACCATTTTTAATTTCAAAAGCACCAGAGTAATTCATGTTAAAAACTATCTCTATATAGAAACTATAAGAATCATAAAATCATAAAATCAGTTGTTAAGAAGTATTAATAAACAGTTATTAAAGAAAATGTTTGCAATCCTATTGGCAGCTATTATCTTATGTGCTGCAACAGCATTCTGGACCAATGTAAGCTTCTGTAATCTTTTCAGAGATACTCCATATAGATTGCATTCTAGATATCCAGTATGAATATGACTAAAGCATGTGCAATTATGGCAAGGTCTGATCTCCTGAAAAATGGTCAGACTAGTCTCAACTGGCCAGAGGTCCTTCTGACTATAACTGCTAATGATCATTCATGTGTAGCCATAGCTATATGCCACAAGTGGTGAGTCACAGATCTGTCTGTCAGATGCAGGCAGTCTATGGAGGTGGACAGCATAAATCCTCCTTCAGGATTGTTAGTACAAGCCCCTCTTTCAAAGAAGCATTATCGTCTCTCAAATTCAGCTGCCTGTTCCCACCTTGGCTGCTCAAATAAGTTAGAAGGGCAGAGATCCAACCTACAGTGGCTGATCTCACGCCATAAAGATCCTTGTCCACTTCCTTGGATTCAGTTCTATACCACACAGTAATGTGCCTTCCAGCCATTTCTCCTGAGCTGAGTCATGTTGGTATTCCCACCTATAAGAAAACAAAACTCTGTCTGCCTTTTCTGTGCTCTCTAAAGCAGCTATTTTAAGTTACGATGTTTCCAGTATTAAAATAAGAGTTAGCTCCCTGTCCAGTGGGTTTCTGTATGTGGAGTGGAAGAAGGACATTTTCTTCTTTGCTTCAAGCAGTGAATTACACTGGACCAGTCTTGCAATGTGCTATTCAATATTGATATAAAACTATCAAGTAAGGTCATTAGGGAGTTTGGTTATATTGTCCTCAGTAGACATTTATTCTTCTCTGCAGAGAGGAGTTTGGACTTATATAAGCCAGATTCTTTAAGTTTAGCACCAATTGTGATATGGATCTAATAATGCTGAACCCTATGAAGTGACAGAATTGAGTTATCATCACTGAGAATTATTCCTCTTAATATCTGTCTATACTAATACAAGTATTATGGGGTTGCTTTTGTTTTATTTAGGAGTATATTGTTTTAGCTGGTAATATTTTTTTCCTACACCAAACAACTTGCTTTGCTATCACTATAGCTGGTAAAGAGTTTCAAGAATCAACTTATCATAACTCAGTCCAATATACTTTGAAATATAGTGGTTTAAAGGTCTCAGTCGGTTGTCCCTGACATAATGAATGAGGCCTCATTGGTGTATATTTGCTTTCACCCATGTTGTTATTTTTATTGACAGAGAAACTATGATCACCCACCTGATTTGTCTTAACAAAAATTATTTACCCATTCACTTCTGAATTTATTCTAATCATGATCTTCTTTCAATCCTCTTTGAGCAGCTGAACCTGGTTTCTAGCGCTACACTATCCAAGAGCACTTCTGATACCTTTCCTGATGGATTACCTCATCCCCCCACCTCTGCTACTGCACCCATTACTCCATTGCGACAGGGTCCTTCTGTTATCAGCTCCTCCACTTTACACAATGTAGGGCCTATTCGGAGGAGAAACTCAGAGAAGTTCTGCACACCAATTTCCTCAGGTGAGAGTAGCTGGGAGAAGTTCCAGCTACATCAGATATTGTGCTTAAATTGATCATTTGGAATGTCTTTTGCTGTTCTTTATAACTTACTTTCTTCTGCCTAGAACTTGCACAGAATCATGAGTTTTACAAAAATGCAGATGTCCGCCCTCCCTTCACATATGCCTCACTTATCCGACAGGTAAAAACCTCTTTATTTTTGAAGAATGTACACAAATACAATGACATCTGGAAGAGGCAGTAATCCTTCTTAGGAAGCGCTCATACTAACACTCAAATGTTAACTGTGGCAAGTGTTTTTATGCGCCAGTGATATGTTCTAGGATTTGCCTTCTGTCCTAACTCTGGGGAATCAGTTTGGGTGAGCTGCAAACTTGACAGCTGATTTACATCTTGACTGCAAAATTATTTGTGGTCTTAAGCCTCTGTTTGTGCCTTTCACTAAACATTCTAGTACTGCTGGTAAATTAATCAGGTATATATTAATTCTTTTTTTCTTTTGTCTACTTTGTGTGAAGACAGACCTAGAAACAAAGACATATGAGTTGTATCTCCAGCTTTTATTGTTCTTTAATTATTTATAATTATAGTTGTATTCTGCTGGAATCAGACAACTCTTGGCAGTTCTGACCTTAGTGCTTCTCAGTGCACTGCTTTATATAGTCAGGTTAATAGCTCTCTGAATAAGGGTAGGGAAGGAGCTGAATTTTTTTTTTTTTTTTAAGAAATGACAATGATATCCTCAATTCTCATTAGTAAAAATTTGCCATTTAGTGTCTTCCAGGGTTTTCAAAAATACAGCAATTAATGTTAAAATTGTTTCTTTCAGAGTTGCTAACCTTGTACTGAATAATAGAAGTCTCCCTTTAAAATAACATTTATTAATTAATGCTGTGTTCTGATACATTTTGTTGAGAGAAAAATATGCTCTCTATTAATGCTAATTGATACATTGATTTGATTAATCATACTCAAACACTTAATATTTGTATATTTTGTCCCCTTATAAACAATGAGAAGGTCAGGCTTTACAGTAGATTCATTTGTACCAAATGTCCCTGATTTTCAGAGGCAATGTAATCATGTGCTTTATTTATGTAAGAATATAAACAGTAGAGTTCCTATATATTCACATTAGTGGTTCATAACTACTTATATCTGCTTTCAGCTTTAGTTTTCTGGCACAGCAGATAGAATTTTGGGGGGGTCATAATGTCCTGTATGAACTGCAACCTTCTGTTTCCAGAGTTATCAATAGCACATCCTCAAAAAAAGCTTAATTCCCTGAGAGAATGGCTCCTATTGCTCCCTGGTGTTATTGTATTGTGCTGGCATCTCTGCTTTTCAGTGAATAGAAACAAGCTCAGTAGTTTAAGAGTACAGGCTACAATATTTTCCTGTGGCTCTGACCTTACAGCCCAATTTTCTTCTCGCTGAATAAATGCCTTTATACACTCTTTATTCTGCATATAAAATATGCTTAGAAGGAGATGCTAAGACCATTACTCTTATTATCTCCTCCTTAGCATTAGTCTTTTAAAGCCTATGCAAAAAGTCTGAATTAGAACATTTCCTGGGAACCCATTCCTCTTATTTTCAGGTCTTTCAGGTTAACTGCTTTGAGATATCTATGATTTGGTAAGCTTTTCCAAGAGCTACTTTAAAAGTTCAAACAAATATTCTCACTTACCAGTTCCCCCAAATATTTGTTTCCTTGGTGCAAGTAGTGGCATGTGTAAAAATATTAGATTAGATCAAATGACTCATTCAAACATCCCAACCCTACTGTGTTTGTATTTGGCCAATACAAATTTACTTTCTCCACCATATTCACTGTCCTGCAAATTTTGATTATGTTCCATTTTTTAGCCACATGCTCCTATTATTGAGATCCTCCCCCCCCCCCAAAACAGATTGTATCAAGTGCCTGAAGCATTTTCTGATTTGAGGTAGCAAACTTGAGAGCCAACATATTATCTTTTCTCAGTTGCCCTTGGTAAGTCCAGAGGCACAGAATAAGAATGAAATGAAGAAAGAAGGAACCAGTTCAGGGTGCTGTTCTTGAGCTATATAATTAGAAACAAGAGCATAAGAATCATGACTAGATTTTTGAAGAATGTTTGAGTACATCTAGCTAACTTGTCCTTGTCTGTACAGTACAGTTCTTAGTTTGGAGACATGATTACTGTACCTCCCTTGCTCAGTCTGCTCCATTTTTGCATTTTGGGAATAATAATTAGCAGTGATTTTGTATTTTTTATTATTTAGCAGAACTTGTTCTCAGCAGTTAAGCCTACAGTACTGTATGTAGAACAGGAAATTGTATTTGCATAAGGGAATCTCCTGCTAAATGGAACTATCTAAACTTGTGTTCTCGGAGCACTGCTACTTCTAATCTACATAAATTAGACCTACTTACTTATGTGAGATGGGTGGCCATATTAGACCTAGTAGCTTATGTGAGATTGGTAGCCGTATAAATTGAAATAAAAAAATAAGAAATACCTTAGAAATCATTAAGCCTACAAAATGGTGTTTTACATCCAAACGAAGAAAATATGTGGCTAGGCTGGATGGTCTGGTTACTCTTCTAAATAATATACTGAAAGAACCAGTTTCACTATATTTGGGAGTCTTATACATTAGGCCCCAGAATTATTTTCAGCTTCTGATGAAAGGCCTTTAGAACCTAATATTAGTAAGTGCTGAATTTCTCTGAACTTGTGGACACAACTTAATAAAAATACTTCTGAGTGTGTAATTTACATTTTCTTTTGTTACTGAGTTGCCTGCAGTACATCTAACTTAAATGATTAGGATCCCCACATTCTGATAATGTGGTTTGCAGGCAAGACTGAGTTCCTATACCTGCCTTTCAAGCAACATTGCTGCATCCATAACACATATCTTTACTGGCTTCTACTGCTTTGTTCTTGGGATAAGTAATGATAAGTAATAATGTTACAATATGTCATTCCTGGATTCTCCTCTATTTTTTTAATATGGACTGAAGTGGGATTGATTCACAAATGTGTTTGTTATTCTCAGTGTTTTGTCATGTAGCTAGTTGAGTCATGAATTCAATTCACCAAAAACAGATTGTTTCTGGGTAACAACATCCCATAGGAAAACCTGATAATATAGGATCTATATGGCCATTTTTGCTCACACTAATTCTCACTTCATTTTCTAGTTATTGAGTGAAGAAAAAATAAATATGTATTAGCTTGTCCTAAGTTAAGCATTTTTAATGAGTGACTGAAAGTTTTGTAAACAAGCAGTAGTAATTTCAGTCCCTTTTAACATTTTTAATAGTAGTTCACCTAGGATTGGTGGTGAGAAGTGTTGAGTCTGATATCTGAGAATGACTTTTTCTCATCTCTAAATTCAGGCTATTCTTGAGACACCTGACAGGCAGCTAACATTGAATGAAATCTACAATTGGTTCACACGGATGTTTGCCTACTTCAGGAGAAATACAGCTACCTGGAAGGTAAAATTTAACCTAAGATTTAAATATAGCCTTTGGATATACAATATTCTTCTCAACAATATCACTTTTTAAAGAAATATGGAATTCCATTGACAGAATGATTGATAAATATAGGAAAATGGATGGAGTCAGAAAAAAATTAAGAAATAATAATGGTAGAAAAGTAGTGGGTAGTATGTGGTGTGTAGTGAGAAATTATGTTTGAAGAAAAAAGTGAAAATAGCTGTAGGTAAGTGTGCTTCTATCCACTTGCATTGTACTGCATTGCATTGCATTAAGAGCTGAACATGTCAGAAGAAACATAAGAGTTGAATGCAGTGAGAATAGGTTTACTTAAGAAATGTACGTGGTAAAACAAGAAGAGAGAGGAATTCGGAATTAATGAGCGCTGAATAAATAGGACTACAAAACCAAATGACCAGTATGTAAGAAATATGTTGAGGTGATTTGATCATATGGAATGAATGAATGAGACGCACATTGCAATATAAATATATGAAGGAAAAGTGAAAAGGTTTAGAAGTCGCTGGATGGTGTTGATGAGTTCCTCAAAAGAGAGGTTAGAAGTTTAATGAAGAAAAGAAATGGGTGAAGCACTGTATGGACATGATGAAAGCAAGGAAGCTTTGCAAAGACAGTATGGAGAGGTATAGTGGTGGTGTTAATGTAAACTAAATTTAACTAAATATCCTTGTTTTCCCACTTATCTCATGTCCTTAATTTCTTTGGCTTACTATTTCTGATTCCTTTTCTGTGCTCTGTCTAATGTTGCTTATCACAAAAAGGAATTGTTTGTTGGGTGTGTGTATGTATGTATATGTATGTGTGTATCTGTATAAAACTGGAAGACATGCATGCTAAAACTGGAAGACATACAGGATTGATTTCAAAATTCTTTCTCCTTAGAAAAGCAGTGATGTGCTCATGTCTGAACTGGGTTGTATCTTAGCTGTATTCTGAATGTGGACATAATATTAAGAATTTTACAAAAGTTATGTACAACTGCATGTCGAGACATTCACTCTGTGATTCAGTAGCAGCATGGTTGAGTTTTCTATTTCATTTCATGTTGCACAGAATCTGCATTGAAGATTTTAATATGTGAAGGTAAAGAAGGAGATAATAAAGAATATATTGTGCTATCTAGTGTACTTGGGTATTTGAGGTGACTTGAGATGACCCAGTGAAATAAGTAAAATGATATTTGAGTAACTTGTGCATCCTTTTTTTTGCTTCCACTATAATATCTGTGGAAGACAAAATCCTTATTTCTCCTTCAGTGAAATGTATGGGTATTCCATATCTTTCACAAGTAAGGTGATCCATTCTTTAGCCATTCCCCAAAGTGGAGAAAATAGATATCCAAGTTATTTTGTATCCATTATTATGTTGCTTCCAGTTAGGGTGAAGGGGCTGTAAGACTTTTGGGACTGATGAATTCCACCTACCTGAGTACAAGACATTCCTCTGTCTCTATGGCTTTCTTCCTAAACTATGGGCTATAGTTTTTCTTGGTGAGAATGTATTGATCCTCAGCACAATAAACAGAAAAGTTAACATAAAATGTGTCAAAATGCATGGATGATGAAACAAGATTAGAGAATTAGATTCCATCCCTCAGAACAATCTGTTTCAGCTTCTGAGGTGGGACAGTGATGTGTGGGTTGGTGACAACAGCATGTGACCAGTCTGTTCCATTATAAGCCTGCAGAAATAGGTCTGCAGCTGCACGCATGTGGCTTCACTACAAGAAAAGCAGAAGGGAAGTTCAAGATGCTAGAAATAGAAAATAAGGTTAATGATAACCTGGGGGTTGATATCTCACTGCATGTGGCAAATAGATGTTTCAGCTAACCTAGCTATAATTCAGGTTAGTTTCCCAGAGTACAGGGAGTACTTGCCATGATACAGATGGTTTCCTAATAGGAAACCATGTTTGTGTGTGTGTGTTCATGAAAGAGAGGCATACACTAGAGAGATCTACTCAAACAGCTTTCAACCTTGGGAGAGAAGTTAAATTTTACAATGGAAGTTAGTCTTATACTTGAATCATTGTTTCAGGTATCCAGGCTTCTGTCCTGCACAATTTCCTGGAGTTCTAATTAAGGCCTTGTCACTTGGTATATCTGTTCCCCCATCTATAAAACAAAAAAGAGGAAGTTACTGTTACTTACATACTTATATCACCATAAACCTTTGATGACAGCTGAGGATTTGAGTCTTGCTATAATCATGTTTATACATGTATCTTTTTCAAGTTTTTAGTACTTCCTTGGGAATTAAAATTCATCAGAACTTAGAACAAGGCAGAATCTGTAAATCTTCATGTAAGGAGCAGTGGAAGATGTCCATAGCTCAATTATAGAGACAAGCATTCACATAGAAGACCTGGGGTCCATCATTATAGATTAGTAATAGGTGATATTGAAGTAAGTGGACCAAATGGACCATCAGCAAGTAGGTATGTGAATGTGTATGTATGTATGTGCTGTATACACACACACACACACATTTCCCCTAAATCAAGCCAATTGTATCTTGTGTCTAGAAAACTAAGTTTAAAAATATTAGGTGCCAAGGCTTGTTCATGGTATAAAATCCAAAATGCCTTTTTGCAGGTTTAATTCTTCTGATTAATATTTTAGCAAAAGTGTATATCCTTAAAATATGAAGCTTGTGTGTGTGTGTGTGTGTGTCTTTTTCTTCATGTGAAATAGTACTCAATTTCCATTTTTAATTTGTATTTTGACCTGTTAATAACCTCTGTGTCTGAATCTATTTGCCCTTCCTTGCTTCAGTGAAATCTGGAAATAGAAGAGACCATTTCTCCTTGGGATGCAAAAATGGGGGAGGGAGAAAAAGAAAAGCAGAGGGTTGTCTCCAGAGCAGAGGAGGGGTGTCATGTTCCTGCAGCTGGGCATCTTTGCCTTTCAGACAGGCCCCCGATAAGATTCCATCCTCCAGACATGACATAATTCTGCCAGTGTCACACTCAGGCCCCGATACAATCACTCCCTCAGACGGGAAGCCAGAGTCATTGTGTAGCCGTCAGACTTTGATAACGGCCAAGCAGAACTTGCTGCTTGTTAAGCAAACACAAGTCCGAGAGAAGCAAATTACTCTGAGAATGAAAAGGAGGTCATGGCATTGGAAGTGAGTTGATTTGGATCAATCCAAGAGGGACCATGGAAATCTGAACTTGCCAGTGAAGTTTGCTGGAGAAGGGCAGCTGCCCTGTAGTCCAACACATGTTTTGCAAGGATGACTCTCTAGGTTCCTCCGTGAAATAACCAGTTATGAGATTTCAGAAAGGAGGCTGAGAATAACCTCTTTTTGAGATTCTTCTTGCTTCCCAGGGAAAAATTCTTGCCTGTAACCAGTTAAAAATTACTGTTCAAACTTGCTGCTTGAGCATTCTTTTTGTTTATGGTGTGGAATGTTTATGAACAGTTTGTCTTTTCAGAAGATGAATTTTAAGGTTTCAGGAAAAGAAAGGAAGAAGTCATTTCCTACCTTCTTCCCTTCTCATGAAAAAAATCAACTTAATGTATGTGTGATTCTAAGATTTATGCATGATTGTTTCTAAAGTTAAACATGAAACTAACAACAAAATAAAAAAAAATTAAATTTAAAAAATGCAACTAACACAAAATCTTTACTTAAACTTCTAAACAGAAATGTAATGGTATCTACATTCCCATATTGTTGGTTTTTGTTTCTGTGTTTGGTGTGCATTTCAAGTCATTTTATTCCAAAGTACACATAATATTTAAGTTGCTGATCTCACTATGTGCAAGATGCTTTAGAAAAATTACATAATCACTGTGATAGATTTTCCATAGAAGAAAGATGTTCAACCTACAAAAAACAGGACAGTTTTTTCCCTTTCTGATCCTATTTCCTCCCATTTCTGGTGACATGAAGATACTGAATCAAAAGCCTAGGAAGTTCCTCTACCCAAGCCCGCCATTATTTTCCTGTGTACCTTTGTCCCTATGTCTGTGACCCATCTTTCTTTCTTCAGTCCCCATGTATCTCCTTGTCTTCTGGTCACCTCCTCCATCTCACTGAATTCAGATAAAGCATTCACTTTCCCAGCAGTTCAGCAAAGGCTTTTGGCAATAGACTTGGGGTTTCAGCTGAGCAGATGGCAGCACCCCACTGATGTTGTCTGGACAGAGAAACTAAGCAAGGTGGGGTATGGTTAATACTCAAATAGGAGACCACCAAGAAATACCAGGGCCCTAAGCCAGGCTGGGAAGTCCACAACCATCTCAGAGGAAAGCAATAGCAAATCACTTCCATGCTGTGGCTGCAAAAACTGCACAGCCATGTCCATCCATGTTGTCACTCAAAGTCAAGCTTAACTCAAGAGCTTCTTTAACTTTTTTTTACCTCATATGTAATTTCAACGTAGAGCTCAGTTTAACTCAGAGACATATTAGTATTTTTGACACATTTATATTTTTAAAGTATGCCAAAGTATTTTGCTACATGACATCTAAGAATAAAAAGCATATATCTGAAAGACAGGTGTAGAAAACTACAAATTTTCTGTTTGCAAAGGGTTGGGAAAATACTGCTGTCAGTTCCATTGTATGTCTCTGATTTGGGGTGGAAGAAAATAAATGAATTTGTGTGTGTGTGTCAGAGAAAGGGGTTGTAGTTGGCTGTTGTAGTTGGTGACTGGCCTTAGTTTGTGCAGGCTTGTCCTAATAGAAAGACTTCTGTATAATTTAATTAAATAACAGAGCTCATAGTCTTTGAAAGCCCTGGGTCTTGCTAGTCATCTGCATCTACAGTTTCTCTTCCTTTTTCTTTAGTTGAGAAAAAGGAATCCTTCCTTTGGTTAATGTAAGCATTGTACAAAATTGGGCTCATGTAACAAATTGCTGAAAGCTCTGATACTGGGGCTTACCACATCACAGAGCTTTACCCGTAGATGGTGGCAGATGGTTAGCCTATTCAAGTACAAAATACTGTAGAAGCCTGAAAGAATT